GTACGATAAAGCTCACGGCTCAGGGAGAGTGACCTAGTAGCGATCAGTGAAGAGGCGGGGCCAGGAGCTCGGACTCGACCCCCGCAACCTCAACTAGGTGAGTACAACTAGGTGAGTACACACACCACACACACACACACACACGACCCCTGCAACCACAACTAGGTGAGTACACACACACACACACACGACCCCTGCAACCACAACTAGGTGAGTACACACACACACACACACACACACACACACACACACACACACACACACACACACACACACACACACACACACACACACCGCTAGGTGAATTAGATACCTCGAAGGCGGTGGGCCTAGATAACGTCTCTCCTTGAGTCATGAGAGAGGGAGCAGATGCACTGTGTGCACCACTAACAATTTTGAATAAATCTATAGCACCAGGGCGACTGCCTGAGATGTGGAAGACAGCAAGCGTAGTTTCAGTTTTTAAGAAAGGAGACGGACAGGCTGCACTAAACTACAGCCTTGTCATTAACTTGTATGTAAAGTTATGGAGAAGATTATCAGGAGAAGAGTGGGTGGAGCACCTAGAACGGTAAAGGCTCGTACATGACAACCAGCACGGCTTCAGGGAAGGAAAATCATGAGTCACAAACCTACTGAAGTTCTACGATAAGGTAACAAGGTAAGACACGAGAGAGAGAGAGAGAGAGAGATGGGTAGACTGCATCTTCTTGGACTGTAAGAAGATTTTTAATACAGTACCACACAAGAGACTGGTTAAAAAACTAGAGGAGCAGGCAGGAATAGCAGGGAAAGCACTGCCATGGATCAGGAAATACCTGACAAAAAAGTGATGGTATGTGATGAGGTGTGAGAGTGGGTGCATGTGTCGAGTGGGGTTCCACAAGGGTCAGTCCTAGGTCTGATGCTGTTTATTGTATATATGAACGGCATGACGGAATGGATAAATTCAGAGGTGTTTCTGTTTGCGGACGATGTGAAACCAATGAGAACACAACAGACGAGGACCAGGTAATCCTACAAGGGGAAGTGGACAGACTGCAAGTTTGGCTTGACAAATGGCTCCTGGAGTTTAACCGCAGCAAGTGCAGAGTTATAAAGCTGCGGGAAAGACAAAGAAGACCGCAGTTGGAGTGCAGCCTGGGGGGGGGGGTCAGTGGTTGCACAACTCACTCAAGGACAAGGATCTTGGAGTGAACATCATACCAAGCACTGCTGAGGCACACATCAACCAAATAATTACTGCAGCATGTGGGTGCCTGGCAAACCTAAGAATAGCATTTCGTCATCTAAGTAAGGAGTCATTCACGACACTGTACACCGTGTACGTCAGGCCCATATTGGAGTATGCAGCATTAATTTGGAGCAGACACCTGGTCAAGCACATCAGAAAATGGAGAAAGGGTAAAAGTTTGCAACAAAACTAGTCCAGGATCTAAGGGGTATATACTACGACGGGAGATTAAGGGAACTCAATCTGACAACGCTGGAGGACAGGAGGGATAGGGAGGACGTGATAACTACGTATAAATTGACAAGGTTGACAAGGTCAGAATGTGTTAGAGATGGGACGCAAAATCAAGGGGACACAACTGGAAGTTAGCAACTCAGATGAGTTACAGGGATGTTAGGAAGTATTTCTTCAGTCATAGAGTTGTCAGGAAGTGCAGCAGTCTGGAGAGTGAAGTAGTGGACGCAAGATCTAAACATAGCTTTAAGAGGAGGCACGACAAGGCACTTGGAGCAAGGAGAGAGTGGACCTAGTAGCGACTTGCGAAGAGGCGGGGCCAGGATCTGTGAACTGACCCCTGCAACCACAACTAGAGTACACACACACGCAATTAGAGATTAGAGAAAGTGTAAAGGTTTGCAACAAGACTAGTCCCGGAGCTCAGGGGAATGTCCTACGAAGAAAGGCTAAGGGAACTCGGCCTGACGACACTGGGGGACAGGACGGTTAGGGGAAATATGATAACAGCATATAAAATACTGCGAGGAATTGACAAGGTGGACGAAGACAGGATGTTCCAGAGATGGGACACAGCAACAAGGGACCACACTTGGAAGTTGAAGACTCAGATGAGTCAGAGGGATGTTAGGAAGTATTTCTTCAGTCATAGAGTTGTCAGGAAGTGGAATAGTCTGGAAAGTGACGTAGTGGAGGCAGGAACCATACGTAGTTTTAAGCTGAGGTTTGATAAAGCTCATGGAGCAGGGAGAGAGAGGACCTAGTAGCGATCAGTGAAGAGGCGGGACCAGGAGCTATGAATCGACCCCCTGCAACCACAATTAGATGAGTACACATACCAGAGAGAGTGGGATGAGTGGTTTTAATAGTTTTGCACTGGAAGAAGGCTTGTGACACACTGCAGAACAAAAGCCTGAAAGAAAACCTAGAATAACAGGGAAGACGCTAACAATTGATGAAGGAATACTTAACAGGAAGGGAACAATGAATGATTGTTCGGGGAAAAATATTTCTGAATATACACCTGTGACGAGTGTGGTTTCATAATTTTTTTTTTTTTTTGCGTTTAGTAATATATACAGGAGAAGGGGTTACTAGCCCCTTACTTCCGGCATTTTAGTCGCCTCTAAAATGACTTACGGAGGAAGAATTTTTCTCCACTTCTCCATGGAGTCGAACTTAATTATTTCAATGTATGTCATCAACAACGTAAATTCTGAAAATTGTGTTTAGAGAAATTACAAAGATCTTATATTACGAAGATACTTTGTTATCACTTGTTTCACATTTTCCACAATTTGCAACCCAAACAAAAAAACGAAGGGAATGAGAGACTGAGAAGTATAAAAGAAAGTAGAATGTGGTATTCACGAATGAAAAATAATCACAAAGAACAGGTGATATCAAACATGTGATTAAGATAGTGAAAAACACATTCACAAGTACCTCTTAGTTTCATCTCGTGTTGAATAAGTCTGGTTACAACTATAATGATAAGTTTTAAGGGGGGAGGGTAAGCCAGCGGAAGGCCTCGGTCATATGACCAAAAGCTCCAACAGCGGATTATCCACCTAAGACCCGGGAAGGGCGGGTATTATAAGGATACACACATCAACAAGTGTACGTCTCTCTATATACATCAAGAGCTTACTTAAATCCCCATTTTAGGGATTAAAGTATTTTTAGCAGGTGAGATGCACCCTTAATGACTCTGAGAAGTCGACAGGCTTACAGTCCCAGTTAACCAACCAACCTAACCAGTGAGTCACCTGGTAACATTATGTAGCCTATATAAATATTTTCGGTCCAGTGTTATCTGGGACACACACCTCTTTATGCATCCATTAGCAAATTTTTTCCCTGTCACAGATCACTTAACACTCGTGGCTTTTTCCCTCTTGTTGTACCATAATGTTTCGTAGCCTCAAGTTCTCATATATTTACTTCAGCTTCTCTATCCATCTTCCTTCCAGTCTTTCTTTCTCTATTTTGTTTATTTTCTCTCCACCTTGTTCCTCTCTGGATTGTCTTGTTTCTTTCATCTTATATACATCGTTGCAGACTTCTCTAGCAACGTCTGTTTTCCTTCTTTCTCACCTCTGCTGTAAAGTTGGACAGCATCTTAAGTTCTTCCTTAACAGCAGACATCTGGGAGCAGACCTCATATTGTATGCACCGTCATGGCTGGATCCTAAGGTCGACTCGCAGACGGAAAGACTCTTTGAGGAACACATTTTTACCGGGACGTTTTTATCTACACACAGACAGCTTAATAAAGGCTTGTTTTCAAGATTGACACATTCACAATAGTATACCTTTAGTATACCTGGAGATGGTTTCTAGGGTCAACGCCCCCGCGGCCCGGTCTGTGACCAGGCCTAATAGTAGCAGAGCTCCTTTTGTATTTGAAGAAGTCTACTGTGTAGGCGAAACGTTTCGTTAATAAAGATACCCAACTGCTGCACATGTGTCTTAATCTTCAACTTGTCGGTATTTTATACCACTTTCAACAAAGGCTTGTTTTGCAACGCCTGTCTTCTCTTTGCCGTCGTGGTCATTACTAGTAGCAGCTTTATCTGTCGACGTTTCACCTTCCAGTAACTTTATCAATATAAGGACATAATGTGAAGGATGTAAACTTATATACTCAGCCGTGGAGTGAAGACTACAGTGCTCTTCAACTCCAAGACTGAGGGACTAATTACCTCATCTTTTGTCTACAGTTCTACATTCTTCACATTATGTCCTTGTATTGATAGTCACTCGATGACGAAACGTCAACAAATAGATACCCAGATATTGCACATGTCTAATTCTTCGTCTTGTTAGCATTATTATACCATTCCTGTACAATAGCAGCAGCAGCATCAACTTCTGCAACAGTCTTACAGAATCTCCCAGCAGCACTGCGTCATCAGCAAACAACAGCTGTGATGGAGCTTTATACCAGCTTCAGTATCTTTTAAAACTACACTTATCCTTAACATTTCAGCATTCAGTTCTGTGGGAGCACCTTCTATAAACACACTGACTTTACATACATCTACTTATGTGTGAATGTTCTAAGTGGAAGGATTTATGAGTGTATATCTTCGTGGAAGGATTTATGAATGTTTATCCCGTGGAAGGATTTATAAGTGCATGTTTATTTTCGTGGAAGGATTTAAGTGTTTAACAAACATATATCAAATGAAATGATAGCAGAAAAAAGCTGTAAATAAAAATTAACATTCTACAAATTAATCCAATTAACCCAATTCTGATAAAATATATTATTAATATAATTAATGTTACTAGTATTATTATATATATATATTTTTTTTAATTTAACACTTCAGTGATTATTTTATTGTATTTCGTCGTAATTTTAATGGCTTCGTGAATATTATTCAGTGTATCTGTTTTTTACCACTCTGGTGTTGTCTCTGTGTATCGCTGATGCTGTGTCTGCCTGCCGTGTCTGCTGTGGTTCCCTGTCGTGTCTGCTGTGGTTCCCTGCCGTGTCTGCTGTGGTTCCCTGCCGTGGACGCAGTGCCTCGGGCGGAAGTGGTTCACGGTCCAGAAATCTTCGTTCATCGTGGATCGCTAATCAATCTCACTTGTGTTGTCACTCACGGTACACAGCGACCTGTCTATGTCTACTGGTACCACCATAATAAGGTAGGTCTACTGGTACCACCATAATAAGGTAGGTCTACTGGTACCATCATAATAAGGTAAGTCTAATGGTACCACCACAATAAGGTAGGTCTATTGGTACTACCGCTGCAGTACCGCCACTACCACTCACAAGCACAAAAAAGTATAGAAGGCAAATGACCCAAGAAAACCAGGAGTTGAGTCGAAGAACCAGAAACATACATGGATAGAGAGAGGTCCAACGACAGTACGAGAACGACATCGCATCAAAAGCCAAATCTAACTCAAAGTTGTTGTACAGCCACATGAGGAAAATAACAGTCAAGGGCTAGGTAATCAGACTGAGGAAGGAAGGAGAGAAGATCACAAAGAATGACCAGGAAGCATGTGAAGAGCTTAGCACGAGATTTAGGGAGGCTCCAGTAAACCGAGGTGGTAGAGTGCACCAGCAAGCCTTGGACACACTACACACAACCACGAATGAATTGAGGAAACTTTGTGAGTTAGATACTTCGAAGGCGCTGGGCCCAGATAACATCTCTCCCTGGGTCCTGAGAGAGGGAGTAGAGGTGCTGTGTGCGCCAATAACAACAATCTTTAATAAGGCTATCAAAACAGGGCAACTACCTGAGGAGTGGAAGATAGCAAATGTAGTCCCAGCTTTAAACTACAGACCAGTGTCATTGACATGTATAATATGTAAAGTCTCGGAGAAGATTATCACAAGAGTGGTGGAGCACCTGGAGAGGAGTCATGACAACCAGCACGGCTTCAAGGAAGGGAAATCCTGTGTCAAAAACTCATGTATTTTTCATGGACAGTAAGAAGACTTTTGACCCAGTACCACACAAAAGTGTGGCACAAGTACTAGAGAAGCAGGTATGAATAACAGGACAAGCGCTACAGTGGGTCAAAGCATGCCCGACAGCAAGGATACAACGAGTGACGTTGAAATGGGTGCATGTGACGAGTGGGGTTCCACAAGGACCAATCCTTGGACAGGCTACAAACCTAGTCCGACAAATGGCTTCTGGAGTTGTACCCCACCAAGGCAAAGTTATGAAGCTTGAGGAAGGACAAAGAAGCCCGCATTTTTTCCTAAATAGGTTATTTGTATTTGAATTCTATGAAAGTATCTTCCATTAACTCTGACACCCGCCTCGTCACCCGGACTAAACCGCTCGATACGGCGAAAGCTGTCAAGGGCCCAAAAAGTCAAACAAAAAAGAACCCATATACCCCGTGTGTCAGGTTTGTACTTACGTCACATCTGCGTCTCAAACGACTGGGGCACCAGCTCTCAACTTATGGGTGTATTTTTTAAATAAAAAATTCTCAGTCGTGAAAATATGAGGTCATAGCTAGTGAGGAAGGGAAAGGGGGGAGGAGAGAGGGTTTTGGGAAGGACGTAGGGGGATTCTGGTGTTGGGAAGGTCGAAGGGAGAACAGGAGGGTTGTAGAGTCCGGGAAGGAAAGGAGGCAGTTTTGGGTCATCAGGGGGGGAAGGATGGAGTCAAAGGGAGGGAGGGTGGACTCATCAGGGAGGGGAAGGATGACTCTCAGGGGGGGGAAAGGATGGAGTACAGGGAGGGAAGGATAGCACAGGGAGGGAAGGATAGTCATCAGGGGGGTAGGGGGGGGTCTCAGGGGGGGAAGGATAGTCATCAGGGAGGGAAGGATGGAGTATCAGGGGGGGGGGATGGACTCATCAGGGAGGGAAAGGTGGGTCTTGGGAGGGAGGGGTGGACTACAGGGGGGAAGGATGGATCATTAGGGAGGGGGGGATGGAGTCTCAGGGAGGTAAGGATAGTCATCAGGGAGGTAAGGATAGTCATCAGGGAGGTAAGGATAGTCATCAGGGAGGGAAGGATGGAGTCATCAGTGAGGTAAGGAAGATATCGGGAGGGAAAGGGTATCATGGGGAGGGAAGGATAGTCATCAGGGAGGTAAGGATGGAGTCATCAGGGAGGGAAGGATAGTCATCAGGGAGGTAAGGATGGAGTCATGAGGGAGGGAAGGATAGTCATGAGGGAGTGGAGGAGGGAGGGTAGCAACAATGGTCTGTCTGGAATATAAATGTCAGTATCTTCTGGTGTGGGAACCTCAAGACAACGATAAGCTTTACAAGAGGCTCAGAATTGTAGATACAAGTATACTGAATGTAACCCAGCCAGTACCATCCTAGTGTACCCAGTACCACCCCAGTACACCCATTACCAGTCCAGTACACCCAGTATCACCACAGTACACCCAGTACCACCACAGTACACCCAGTATCACCACAGTACACCCAGTACCACCCCAGTACACCCATTACCAGTCCAGTACACCCAGTATCACCCCAGTACACCCAGTACCACCCCAGTACACCAAGTATCACCACAGCACACCCATTATCACCCCAGTACACCCAGTAATACCCCAGTACACCCAGTAATACCTCAGTACACCCAATATCACCCCAGTACACCCAGTACCACCCCAGTACACCCAGTACCACAATACACGCAGTATACCCCAGTACACCCGGTATCACCCCAGTACACCCTGTACCACCCCAGTACACCCAGTATCACCACAGTACACCCAGTACCACCACAGTACATCCAGTACCACCACAGTACACCCAGTATCACCCTAGTGCACCCAGTACCACCCCAGTACACCCATTACCACCACAGTACACCTAGTATCACCCCAGTGCACCCAGTATCACCACAGTATACCCAGTACACCCAGTACCACCTCAGTACACCTAGTATCACGCCAATGCACCCAGTATCACCTCAGTACACCCAGTATCACCCTAGTACACCCAGTATCACCTCAGTACACCCAGTATCACCCCAGTGCACCCAGTATCACCCCTGTACACCCATTATCACCCCAGTACACCCCAGTACACCCAGTATCACCCCAGTTCACCCAGTACCACCACAGTACTCCCAGTATCACCCCAGTACACAGTATCACCCCAATGCACCCAGTACACCCAGTATCACCCCACTGCACCCATTATCACCACAGTACACCCAGTACCACCCCAGTACACGCAGTACCACAGTACACCCAGTATCACCCCGGTACACTCAGTACCAGCCCAGTACACCCAGTATCACCCCAGTGCACCCAGTACGACCCAGTACACCAAGTACCACCCCAGTACACCCCGTATCACCCCATTGCACCCAGTATCACCACAGTACACCCAGTATCGCCCCACTACACCCAGTACCGCCCCAAGAACACCCAGTACCAACCTAGTGCACCCAGAATCACCCCAATGCACGCAGTACCACCCCAGTACACCCAGTATCACCACAGTACGCCCAGTACCACCACAGTACACCCGGTACCACCACAGTGCACCCAGTACCACCCCATTACGCCCAGTATCACCACAGTACACCCAGTATCACCCCAGTAACACTCCAGTACACTCAGTACACCCAGTACCACCCCAGTACACCCAGTATCACCCCAGTACCACCCCAGTACACCCCGTATCACCCCATTGCACCCAGTATCACCACAGTACACCCAGTACCACCACAGTACACCCGGTACCACCCCAGTGCACCCAGTATCACCCCAGTGCACCCAGTATCACCACAGTGCACCCAGTATCACCCCAGTACGCCCAGCACCACCCCAGTGCACCCAGTATCACTCCAGTGCCACCCCAGTACACCCAGTATCACCCCAGTACACCCAGTATCACCCCAGTACACCCAGTACCATCCCATTACACCCAGTATCACCCCGTACACCCAGTATAACCCCAGTGCACCCAGTATTATCCCAGTACACCTGTACCGCCCCAGTACATCCAGCATCACCTCAGTACTCCCAGTGCCACCCCAGTACACCCAGTACCACCCCAGTACACCCAGTATCACCCCAGTACCACCCCAGTACAACCAGTACCACCACAGTACACCCAGTATCACTCCAGTACACCCAGTACCACCCCGATACACTCAGAACCACCACAGTACCCCCCAGATCCCCCTAGTAACCCAGTATCCCCCCAGTACACCCTTTATCCCCCCATGCACCGTATCCCCCAGTGCCCCCGTACCAAAATCCCCAATCCCCCCCCCCCTGCACCAGTACCCCCAGTCCCCCTATCACCACAGTCCCCCAGTATACCCAGTAGCCCTGCCCCACCCCTTTTTCACCGTATCACCTCATACCCCCATCCCACCCCAGTGCCCCCAGTATTCCCCCAAATGCACCCGGGCCACCCCCATGCACCCAGTTCCCCCCTACTCCCCAGTGCCACCCCATGCACCAGTATCCCCATTTCCCAGTTCCCAGTACCACCCAGTGCCCCCAGTACCACCCAAGTGCTTCAGTAAAACCCCATGCTCTCGTATCCCCCCGTGCACCCAGTGCCCACCAGTGCACCCAGTACCATCCAGTGACCAGTATCACCCCAGGCCACCTGCCACCCCAGAAAATTCACCCAGTGCACCCGGGTATCCCCCCGTGCACCCAGTACCCCCCAGTGCACCCGGGCCCCACCCCATTGCACCAGTGCCACCCCAGTCACCAGTTTCCCCCCCAGTGCACCCAGTATCACCCCAGTGAACCAGTACCCCCCCAGGCCCCATACCCCCCCAGTGCCCCCAGTTCCTCCCCAGTGCACCCAGTGTCACCCCAGGAAACCCCTACCACCACTTCACCCATACCCCCAATGCACCCGGTATCACCCAGTGCATCATGACTCCAGTACCCCCCAATGCACCGGTTCACCCCTGCACTCGTGCCACTCAGTGCCCCAGTTCCCCCCCCAGTGCCCCAGTACACCCCAGACACCCAGTACCACCCCGTGCACCAGTCCACCCCATGCCCCAGTATCCCCCCCAGTGCCCATGCCCCCCCCGTGCACCAGTATCCCCCCAGGCAACCAGTCCCACCCCAGTGCACCCCAGTACCACCCCATGCCCCCCAGTGCCTCCCCAGTGCCCCCAGTTCCCCCCCCAGTGCACCCAGTTCACCCCAGTGCACCCAGTTCC